CATCCAAGAAGCTTCTTCAGCTCAGACTGGATGGTGGGGAATGGAATTCTTCACTCTGAGTTGAAGAAGCTTCTTGAATGAGAAGCGAAACGTCTTCAAAGAAAACCCATGAAAATCCGGTTGCCTCGTGTTCTTTTGTTGGTTAGATTCACCCAATCCTTTGTCCATAGTAGGGTGGCTGCCGTATGATATATTTCCCAGTTTGGCAGGGCTAACCCTCCTCTGAAAGGACCTTACAGACAGTCACAAAAAATATGGTTTTATTATAATTGTTTTCCCTACTCTTTCCCCCCCTTCCCTTACCTTCCCCTCTTTCCTCTCTCAAGCCTTCCTCTCTTTCCCTCTTGGCCTATGCCAAGACCTGTTTGTCTTTTTGTTGTATATAATTTGTAGCTGTGTTGTTTTCTTTTAAAAGTAAAATTAATAAAGTTTTTTCTTAAAAAAAGAAAGAAAGAAAATCCGGTTGCCTCTTGAGAAAAAAAATATCTTTGGGACATCCATTGACCTGCAGGACGGAGAATCGCCGTAGACGTACACCTGGCAGGTTGTGTGTGTGTGATGCAGGATGGCTCAGGTGCCACTTTCTACGGCCTTTGCTGAGATCTGTAGGCAGCGGGTAACTCCTAGGCCAGGATTTCTCAACCTCGTCAGTTTTAAGACACGTGGACTTCAATTCCCAGAATGCCCCAGCCTTCCCCCCCCCCCCCCCATGAAACCTGTTTTCCTAACGGGGAGAACAATCCGCCTGTGGAGCAGCTTGCCACCAGAAGTTGTGGATAATCCAACACGGGAAGGTTTTGAAGAAGAGCCTGGACTGCCATTTGCCTGAAATAGTATAGGATCTCCTGCTTGAGAAAGGGGTTGGACTAGAAGACCTTCGAAGTCCCTTCTGTTTGTTAAGACCGCCACGCATTATCTGTGCAAAGCAAAACACAGCGAACAGCCAGGCATGATTCAGATCGGTAAATACGATATTTATTCCAACGGAAGGATTGTTACAATAGCAGAGCTGTGTCGTGGGAACCGCACAGGAGGCCCTGATTGCATTCGGACTCCCAGCCCAAGGTGGTTAAGCCAGATATTTGGACTATCCCTATTCCTGCCCCATAGCAACGGAGTGAAGCCACCTCGGCACCTGGACGGGAACTGCCCTATTCTTCCTTAGCATCCCAGTGAGTGAAAGGTGTGTGGCTCTCACCTCCACTTCTTTAGAAGGGAGAAAGGTGTGTTCTACAGGTGTAGAACAGGAAATCTGGGCTTTTGGTGGGAGCAGAAGGACCCAGCCAAGCTAAAAAGGTAAACGTTCCCCTCGCACCTACGTGCTAGTCGTTTCCAGCTCTAGGGGGCGCTGGTGCTCATCTCCGTTGCAAAGCCGAAGAGCCAGCGATGTCCGAAGACGTCTCCGTGGTCATGTGGCCGGCATGACTAAACGCCTCCGAAGGCGCACGGAACGCTGTTCCCTTCCCACCAAAGGAGTCCCTGTTTTTCTACTTGCACTTTTTTTACATGCGTTCGAACTGCTAGGTTGGCAGAAGCTGCTGGGACAAGGAACGGGAGCTCGCTCCATTACGCGGCGCTGAGGGTTCGAACCGCCGAACTGCCGGCCTTTCTGATCAATAAGCTCAGCGTCCTTAGTCCCCCCCAAAAGAAAACAGGTGGACCTCAACTTATAACGTCTGTCGAGAGACCATTGGAAGTTACAACAGCCCGGAAAAAAGTGACTTATGATCGCTCCTCGCACTTACGACCGTTGTAGCATCTCCACGGACACGTGATGAAACTTTGGGGGCTTGGCAACCAGTATGTAGGATCGTTGTAGCGTTCCAGGTGACCTTCCCAGCTGGATTCCAACCAGCACAATCAATGGGGGAGGAGCCAGATTCATTTAAGGGACTCAGATTCACTTAATGACTGCGTAATAATTGTGGGGAAAAGTAGTAAAATCAGGCACGGCTTACTCAACGACCGCTTTGCTCAGCCGTGGAAATTCTGCTCCCAACTCTGGTCGTATATGGAGGATCACAGGCCATCCTCGGCATACGACCACAATGGAGCTCGAAATGTCCGTTGTTAAGTGAGATTATCTACGCAGTGAGGGTTTTTTTTGTCCTGTTTTTACGACTTTTCTTGCCTTAGTCATTAAGCGAATCACCGCACTCGGTGAGTAACCCGGTTGTTAAGTGAATCCAGCTTCCCCATTGCTGGTCAGAAGGACACAAAAGGGGGAACGGCGTAACCCGGGGATGCTAGTACTGTCGTAAATACGAGCCCGTGGATTTTATTCACGTGATCCTGGAGTGGCCCCCAAAGGTCGTTAAGTGTGAAAACTGGTTCCAAGCCCCATTTTTTAGTGCCATTGTAACTTTGAATGGTCACTAAATGAACTGTTTTAAGTCAAGGACTGCCTGTACTTGTATTTATGTTTTAAATTTGCATCGTTGTCCTGGTTGCGCACTTGGAGGTGGGGTGTCTTGGCTTCAAGAGGCTGAATTGTCCCTGGCAATGCAGAAAATAGAGATAACCATCCCGGCTTATCAGATGGGCACCAGGATTGTGCAGCAGATTTAAGGGAATTTAGCAGGAATAAAATAAAATAAAAAATTCAAGATATGCCTCCACCTGAATCTCCCACCCAGGTTCTGGTTTTATTCCTTTTTTTTTTTTTTCAGTTCCGCTCACGGAAGAAACGTCCCCAGATTTTCCCCAAACAGCCTCTAGTCATCCTGAGGACAACATCCGAGCGAGATCGGTAGATTAAAATAAAAAATGTGTTACTGGTAAAACAAAATAATAATAATAGTAATAATAATACGCATGTCATTTTTGCTGTAGCAATACATTATGATAAAAATTGAGGGGTGAACGTTGAAAAGGTAGCAGGTCAAATGTGGGATTTTAACTACAGGGGGAAAAAAAAGAAGTTTTTTTAAAAAACAAAAAACAAATATGGATGGAATAAAAGGAGGTTTGGACCCTGCCTCGTCATCACGGCAGCCGGAAGCCGAATTAAACCTTGTTCTGCTCATTTGCTTAATAAAGCTAATGGGGGCTTGATATGCACTGTTAATATTAAGCTTGCAAGCTGCACCTTTATTTTCACTTCTCTTAAAGCAAGTGGCTAGACCTCAATGTGGGGGAGAAACGGTTGGAAAGGTTCTTAAATCTTTTTACTTTTTTAAACCCCCCCCGCCCTTGATTAGAATAGCAAAAAAGCTATGCAAAGTGAAGAAAATGCATACAAATAGACATCGGAAAAATCTGGATGCTTATAAAAGATTTGGGCTTAGCATTCTGAACTGAAATCTCAATTGATATTCCTCTAAATCTGGTTCCAACATCCTTTAGCCTCTAGTTATATATGGATTTTTTTTTGTCCTTAGCCTTGTTTTTTTTTTAAATAGAAACCTTGTGTTGGGTAATATTTCTCTCTATCCAGTCCTAATCCTAAACAGGTTAATTGTACACCTTGCTATATATCCCAATGGCTCAACGGATGATTTGAAAAGGCTCGCAAACAATATTTAGATCCTCGATCCATACCAGAAGTGAGTCTAAAGCCAGTGGCTGTTAAAAATCCCATGTTTTCCCCCCTGCCAAGAGTCTAATGTTGAAAGCTCATCCATCCACGGTTTAAGGTTCTTCTGTCTATACCACATGGTATAGGATGCATAGATGGGATTCCTCCCCCCCCCTCCAAAAAATGCATGGTGCTTCAAGAAATCGCATGGTGTGGCCACCGAAGAGACACCAAAAACACATCGGCTTGTTATTTTGCTCCGCAGTTCTCCAGGTTGTGTGTGTTTTTCTACTGTGGGACACTTTTCTGCAAGTGATGTCCTTTGAGTGAAGCCACTATTAATCTAGAGGTCCTAATCTGGGACAGCCTTCATCCAGAACTGAAGAAGCAACTTGGTAGCACTCAGGGTGACATATTCACCTTCTCCCAGGTTGTCTTCCCCCCCGGCACACACACAAAAAATGGTTCTGCAGAGGTTGCAGGAGGTCAAGATGGAGAGGGTTATCCTCAACACCAAATGGAGCTCTCCAGTTGGGTCAAGCACCAAAGGATAGCTCCTTTCCAGACCACCCATGGTCCTCCAGAAGAGATTTCTGTTATTATTATTATTATTATTGGGGCGATGAGTGAGAACGGCATCGTTGTTGCAAAACCGGATGCCCTGGTGTGGGCTGTGAATGTTTAAAAGCCACGATGACCTTTGGATGGAAAAGTCCAGCTTGATGTGAGATCAAGAGCATGGATGCCAAGGCAGCACAAGGTTCTGGTTTTGGGCTGTGCAGTTTTGGGCTGTTCAAGCTTCTCATTGCTGCCCTCACCTTCTTTTATAACGGCCCTGTAATCCCTTGCAGCGGGGTGGCGTCTGGGCAGTTGGATGGAGCGGAGTGTTTACTGGCCGAATGCCCTTCCTGTTGCCGATGCGGAGTTTTTTCCCCCCTCCGCCGGTGGACATATTCTCATTGTGCCCAGAGAGAGAAAGAGAAATATTTGCTTCTCCCGAGGATCGAACTCACGGCCTCCTCTGACTGTGAGGCCATCTCTAGGCCACCGCACCACTCAAGCTTCCCATGGCTAGGGCGTTAAAATATAAATATATATCTGCACGTTATTTGCATTTAGTTCTAGATGTGATTGAGAGGCAGCTGTTCTCTTGCGGCACGGAGGGCTTGCGGTGTCCCTATCCTTAAATATCGGCCTCCAGCCGAGGCTGAGAAATGTCAGGAATCTCTCTGCTGGCTTGACGCATCCCGCAAGTGAAGTTCAGACTTCGCATGATGGGTTTCCTCATTGGATGGGAGATCCCGGGACCGAATTCCTGGGGAACAAAAGCCCTTCCTGCTTTTCCTTCTAACAAAGGCCCCCGGTTCTGGTTTTCTTCCTGCTCGCCTTCCTTCCTCTCGTTTCCTGTTGCTTTTCTTTCTCTTTGAAAGCCAGTGCTGATTTTTTTTTTAAAGGGGTGGGTGGTCTTCCTTCTATCGCGCTTCATCGCTGCAACTGTGATGGATTCTCCTGGTTTCCATTGTCTTCTCTTTAGCCGCTTCCCAAGGTGTGTGTGTGTATGTGTGTGTGTGTGTGTGTGTGTGTGTGAAAAATTAGGAAAGATCCCTTGATCTCCAGAATAAGACTCTTATTGTCCCATCCTGGGAATGCTGGATAGACAGCAGCTGTCAGGATTCCAACAATCGCCCCAATTAATTAATTAATGTTTAGGGGTTGGGAAAGAAACCGCTTTCGTTGTACAAGTTCGAAAGAGGAAACCTCCACAGACCCGATGTATGAATTTCTCTAACACTAGGCCTCATTTCTGGGCCTCAATCTCCATGGTGTCCTCTGGGGGTAGTCTTCTCGCCGCCTGTTCTTGCTTTGAGAAAGGTCTTCTACGATGAGTCTCTTCTGCCAACTCCATCCCAGAAGAAAGAGAGAGGGGAGGAAGTATGGAACATCCCTGCTTTAAGCCAGAAGGATCTCATTCCATCTCTATCTCTGCTGTCCCTCTGCTTCTAAAGGGAAACGTTTCGAGGACTCATCTACGATCATTTCAGATCCACCTTCAACCATGGTTTCTGGGGTCAACGTTGTTTGGGGTTTTGATGGACTGCTTCCAGTCAACTATTTCTGCTCCCCGCTTTATCTGTCCTTCCTTCCTTCCTTCCTTCCTTTCATCCATCCATCCATCCATCATAACTAGTCATGGGAGAAGCAATCAGCAAAGCGGGTTGTAGACAAAAACTGCAAAGATGGAAAGATGTTGACCATTTCTAGGGAGACCAAAGGTAAAGAAAGCTAGAAGGTTCAGTCCATCTGAAGCATAGGTTGATAGCAAGATCTGGCCATGGACTACGAAGAGAAGTAAAACCTTAAGATGTGTCTGACTTTGGCCTAAAGGAACAGTTGGAACTAGGCGTGGAGGAAGTAATATTTTTCACTGGTTCAGGAAGCCAATGAAGTTGAGTTTGGTTTCTGGGAAGAAAGACCCTTGCAAGAAGTCTAACACGGTAGATACTGTAGATCGTTGACATTGTGGGTTCAACTGGTTTAATTCTACATGAGGAAATGAGGCTTTTTTTTTTTTTTTTGAGGTGGACAGGAGTCGCTTTAAAAAAAACCCCAGAAGGGATGGAGAAGTTTGAGCCGGAAGCCTCGCTTGAAGAGAAGAGCAGAAAGCAGGTTTCCTATGCTGTGCTCGGCTGCTAGGCGAGGCCTTCATCAGGAAATCAAGCCTGGAAGTTCGCTTCAAGGAAAATTGGAGAAGGCCCAGCGCCTCCTGGAGTAGTTCAAGCCTGGTGGTTAGGAAGGATGGGCGGGTGGGGAGCAAACTCGGGAAGCGGTTTACTCAGCCGAGCCCTTCTGCCGACGCTTGGAAGGGGGAACAAGATGGCGGGGCAGGTCAGCGGGCAAGCCGTGGCCTTCGAGTTTGACCTCGATGAGGTGGCTGGCCAGAGCGAACTCCTCGTCATCCAACATGCCATCCCGGTCGACGTCGCTCAACTTCCAGATCTTGCCGAGAACCGAGTTGGGCAGCTTGGTGGTGACCATCCAGGTCTTGGCCTTGGTGCCGCTTAGCTTGCCATCCATGGGGGAGAGGTTGTAGAAGATCTCGTCGTACTTGGGCTTGTCCTTGGTCACGACCCACTCGTCCTCATCCATGCCCTCGTAGGCGCCCTCGGTGGCCCCCTCGACGAAGGGCCCGTTGCGGGTGCCGTCGAAGGCTCCCCCCTGGACGATCTGCTCGGGGACTTCCACCTCCTCCTGGCGCAAGAGGGGCATCAGCTTGGCGATGTCGAGGGTCAGCAACTCGTCCAGGGCCTCCACCATGCGGGGCTTCAGCCCGTGGAACTTGGTGAAGTCGTGGACCATCAGCATCTCCTAGAAAGAAACCCGGGAAGAAGATGGACGGAAGCTTCAGCCGTCTGTAACTCAGGATAGCAATCGCATAGCGAATACCCTCCCTCCCTCCATCGCAATAGCAATAGCGCTTAACTTATATATTGCTTCTCAGTGCTTTTACAGCCCCATCTAAGCGGTTTACAGAGTCAGCCTATTGCCCCAACAATCGGGGTCCTCCTTTTATCAACCGACGGAAGGACGGAAGGCTGAGTCAATCTTGAACCGGTCAGAATTGAACGCCTGGCTGTGGCAGAGTTAGCCTGCCCTTTGGGCTGCCGGGGTGATTATCTGAGGCACTTAAGGAATGCCCTGTTTTCTCCCACTCCCTTTCTGCTGGCAACTAAAAAGACCAAAGGAGTATCTATTTAGAAGACCTCCAAAATCCCTTCCAACTCTGTTGTTCTATAATCCCTGATCGATTAATCGGTGGAATGACACGCCTCCAGGCGCTGTGGGTACTCCATCTCTGGAGGCTTTTAAGAAGAGACTGGACAGCCATTTGACCCAAATGGATATAGGCCCGTGGTGGCTAACCTTTCTGGGCTCCAGTGCCAAAAATTGTGCGTGCACTTACATGCTTGTGCTTGCGTGCCAGCACCCAAAAGGCAATGCATCCCCCCGCCCCCTACACATGCGTGTGTAATCCCCACCCCACCCCCTTACCTGCACAGTGCCTCACAGCTGATTTTCGGCTGGTTTGAGGCCTTTTTCAGCCTCCCAAAGACTCGAGGCAGGCTCCTGCAGGTTTTGCAGGACGAAAACTAGGCCCGTTTTGTCACTTCCGGTATTTCCGGAAAAACAGGAAGTGATGAAACAGGTTCGTTTTCAGCCTGCAAAGCCTGCAGAAGCCTTCCTCAAACCTTTTGGGAGGACAAAAAGGGCCTCAGACCAGCTGAAAATCAGCGGTGAGGCACGCGCATGCCCAGTGAGGTAAGTTAAAGCGGTTGGACTGGAGAGAAGACCTCCAAAGGTCCCTTCCGGCTTGGTTTGTCAGTTGTTCATCCGATGACTCTTGTCCTCACCTGCATTTTGCCGCAGTCGGGGAAGTCGCCAGGCGAAATGTGATGCTCCAGCTGGATCTTGGCAAAGATGACAGGCAGCTTGTTGATCAGCTGTTTCTTCTTGTTGTCCTTGCCAAAGACGGATGGCATCTCCCTCTTGAGGTGGCTGATGATGTGGGAATGGACCTGAGAGGGAAAGCGATTGTAGGAGAAAGAAGTTGTTTGGCCATCACAGATAAATACATCAAAAGAAGAGGAAGCTGTCCCGGAAGAGCCTTGACAAATACCAATCCATCTGTCCCCTGGCAAGGTTACACCAAGCAGGGTGACCTGGCGATTTCTTTATCCAATATCCCCAATCCTTTGGTGTGGGTTTCTGTGGAAATGTCCCCCTTTTGACACCTCGAGGAGCATTAAAATTGGATCGGCCCCTTTTCTAAATGAATGGCAGAACGGATGGGATCCAGGCCATTTTATTTCAGTTTGCTGTTACACAACGTTTAATTGAGTCGAGCAGCTGCATTTTCTGCACAATTAGTCTGCGGCTGATTTTAAACATGCCGGCAAAATGGTTGATGAATGTTGTCATTGTTATGAAAGAAGTACAAAACTATCCGGAGATGAACCGTTTTCAGTTTGGTTCACTTGCTAGGAACAAGCCCTTCACACAGAGAGAGAGACTAAAAGCTGGAGAATGGCAGGGGGAGGTAGGTCTATCGCGCTGTTTTTCAAATTTGCCAACTTTAATAGATGTAGACTTCAATTCCCAGGAGCCCCCAGTTATCATGCAAGTTTAAGATGGGTGGACTTCAACTCCCAGGAGCCCCCAGTTATCATGCAAGTTTAAGATGGATGGATTTCAACTCCCAGGATCCCCCAGTTATCATGCAAGTTTAAGATGGGTGGACTTCAACTCCCGGAATTCTCCAGCCAGCATCCAATTTTAAGGTGGGTGGACTTCAACTCCCAGAATTTCCCAACCAACATGAACGCTGATTCCCTGTTTTGAAATGCACACCTCTTAAAATTGCCTAGTTTGAAAAAAAAAACAAAAAAGCACCTCTAGATTAGGTTGATACCCTGATGATGAGCCATCGATCAACGTACGTCGTTCTGAGCTAAAGGAGGGCAGAGTCTGGCTCATTCTGGGAAAGCTTTCTATGATTCTGCCATGGAGATCCAGGTCAAATGATCTTTCCTGAGCTGGCTCCGATTCCTAATTCGCTGGTCAAAGGACACAAATAGGTCCCTTGGTGGAGGCTAAAACAATGGATGTCACAGCTAGGAAATGATGCAACTTAAGGACCAATCGTTGTGCGTAATATATATATATATTTTTCCTATTCCTTCCCTGGCTTTTTCCCCTAGGAATGACCACAGGACAGCCATTCCTTTAACCAGGGCTACAGAAGGTGCAACCTCATTAGAAACCCTTAATTGGAAAACCAGAGCAGGAAGGAGAGAAAGAGAGAGAGGGAAGGAGAGAGAGGGGGGGAGAGAGGGGGGAGAGACAGAAGAAAAAGAAAGAGAGAGAAGAAAGAAAGAGAGAAGAGAGAGAAAGCAAAGGGAGACAAGAGAGAGAAGAGTGTGTGAGACAGACAAAGAGACAGAGAAGAGAGTGAGTGAGTGAGTGAGAGACAGAAGAGAGAAAGAGAGAAAAAGAAAGAGAAGAGAGAAAGAGAAGAACGAAAAAGAGAGAGAGAAGAAAGGGAGATAATGAGAGAGAAAGAAGAAAAAGAGAGAGAAGAGAGTGAGACAGAAGAAAAAGAGAGAGATAAGAGAGGGACAGAAGACAGAGAAGAGAAGAGAAGAAAGAGGGAGTGAGAGATAGACAGAAGAAAGAGAGAGAAAGAAAGAGAGAAAGGGAGAGAGAGAGAGAGAAAAAAAGAGAGCATGGGAAATAGGAAAAGGGACCCATAAACAAATTGTACTCTGCGGCACAATGCAGGCTTCCTTTGTGGGATGTAGCCATTGGGGACAACAGGAAAAGCAGCAATAAAGGCTGGGACCCCAGCAACAGCCTCCTCCAATGGGAAGGAGGGAGGCTCCTTGTCCAGGGAGAGGAGAGATTTAAAGGAAGGAGCCCTGGTGGTGCAATATAGTATTGCAGGCTAACTCTGCCCACGGCCAGCAGTTCCGTCCTGACTGGCTCAAGGTTGACTCAGCCTTCCACCCTCCCAAGGTCAGTCAAAGGAGAACCCAAATTGTTGTAAATCGCTTAGAGAGGGCTGTAAGAGCACTGTGAAGTGGTATATATGTCTTGAGTGCTTATTGCTCTTCCTTTCCTTCCTTCCTTCCTTCCTTCCTTCCTTCCTTCCTTCCTTCCTTCCTTCCTTCCTTCCTTCCCTCCCTCCCTCCTTTCCAGTGGTTAGAGTGCAGAATTGCAGGCTAACTCTGCCCACTGCCAGCAGTTTGATCCTGACCAACTCAAGGTTGACTCAGCCTTCCCTCCTTCTCAGGTTGGTCAACGGAGGATTGTTGGGGACAAGAGGCTGACTCTGTAAACCGCTTTGAGAGGGCTGGAAAGCACCATGAAGCAGTATATAAGTCTAAGTGCTACTGCTATTCCTTCCTTCCTTCCTTCCTTCCTTCCTTCCTTCCTTCCTTCCTTCCTGCCTGCCTGCCTGCCTGCCTGCCTGCCTGCCTTCCTTCCTTCCTTCTTTCCTCTCTTAATTCCCTTTCTCATTCTCCTTCCAGGTGGCAGCAGTGGTTAAAATGCTGTATTGCAGGCTAACTCTGCCCATTGCCAGCAGTTTGATCCTGACCAGCTCAAGGTTTACTCAGCCTTCCCTCCTTCTCAGGTTGGCCAACGGAGGATTGTTGGGGGCAAGAGGCTGACTCTGTAAACTGCTTTGAGAGGGCTGGAAAGCACTGAATGGCGGTTAAAGTCTAAAGTGCTGTGGCTATTGCTAAGCACAACATTCTCTATTCTCTATCTACGGGGGTTGCCCCATTGTATGACAGTTCAGGTGCCATGTCAACCTCAGCAAAAGAGAAGACGGCAGGAATTGTAGCGTGACACGCCACCTGGAAGGGACTATGCGAGAGAGGGCTTCCTTTGAGTTAAACAAATTCAGCAAGGAATCTGTAGGATAGGACCAGGCTGAGACCAAGAAGGGAGGGAGGAATCAAACACGTCATCGGTCTCGAGTTCCTTCATGCCCACAAGAGTTCTAAGTAATCCAACCCACTTTGAATTCCTGTGACTCTTGCCTACCGCCAATTTGCTCAGGTTGTTAGTCGTTTGGATTTTTGCAGAAAGCTTAAGCTTGCAATAAATCTTAATACTCCGTTGACCTGCCCGGATCTCCTAATTTCCCCGGTGCCTGACGGGATCCTACCTTATCTCTCCGAGCTCAGCGGGGGATTAAGGGCAAGGAAAGACATTCCGTCACCAGGATGAGTTGAAAGCCAGTTCTGCAGCCGCACCCAGACGAGCAATTCTCATGATTTCTTCCCATTACCCTGAAAACTTCTGTCTCTCTCTCTCTCTCTCTTCCTCTCTGTCTGTCTCCCTCTCTCTTTTTCTCTCTCTCCTTTTTCCTTTCCCTGTCCCATTACAGTGAGATTCTGGGGCTCGCATGAACCCTTTTTCCTTCACCCGTGAATCCTTGCTACCCTGAAAAGTTTTCCCCAAAATACGACCTACCCTGAAAGGAAGCCTTACTTTGATTTTTACATGTGTGCCCAATTTAAGCCCTACCCCCCAAAATAAGCCCTAATTAAGATCCCGCCTACTCCAGAGTGCCCGGGTAAAAATTAAGCTAAGGTGGGGATGGGAGGATGTAGAGCTGCCCTACTACTTAACTGTGGACAGTTGTAGCCAGGCCTCGCACACTGCAACACCTGCCTTGTCAGGCCATTTTTTCTGCAGCCAGCAAAGCTGGCAAGACTTTCCTGAAGGCCTCTGTAGGTGATAACAAAGCTACGGATCGATCCAGAGCTCTATTATTGGCTGCAGAAGCCTTCGGGAAAGCCTTTTTGGCCGCAGAAGAAGTCGTTCCTGAAGGCCTCTGGTTGCAAAAAGGAGGCCGGGGGCGACACGCACAAGTGAGGTTAGTCAGTGGATGACGTCCCCCGAAAATAGGACCTGGTGTTTTGTTTTGTTTTGGTGGCAAAAAAATATATAAGACTGGGTCTTATTTTGGGGGGTAGGAGGCCTTCCCTTGAGCAAGGCTGCTAGAACTGGGGTTCCCTTGGTCCAGCCTTGCTCTTCCAGGGTTGATGAAGCAACCCCTGGTCTTCTCTTTTGGCCCAGAGAATTCTGTCGCCAAAGAATATCCATCCTGCCATTCTTTCACAAGAGACACATGCTGGACTTTGGCAGCCTAAACTTCTCTCCGAGGACAAGATCTCTTTTCTAGCTCTGCCTGAGGGCAATTGCCTCTTTCGGGCCGTGGCTTAGAGCCACGCTATTTCCTTTCCCTTTTTAAAATAAATCTTTATCAATTTTCTGTTAATGACATTTCTTAGTGCTTGATAAACATCGTGTTGTCTGGGTATTGAATTTGCTTAACAATGCAGATTTCCTTCTTACTCTCCACCCCTTTCCCCCCCAACAGCTGGTAAAATAAGTTCCATGTTTGGTAATATCCTGTGTCTTCTTTTAGTTTGATCGTCAATTATAAGCCTATACATTTCTGCACAGTCTAGTATCTTAATTATCTCTTCATCTCTAATTAAGAGCCAGGCTTTTTCCATTGGCACCATCTCTCTACTTTCTCCATAGTCAAGGAACGTTTATTTGTATGAGCCGCGGTGCAGTGGTTAGAGTGCAGTACTGCAGGCTACTTCTGCGGCCTGGCGGCTGCCTGCAATTTGGAAGTTCGAATCTCACCAGGCTCCAGGTTGACTGAGCCTGCTGTCCTCCCCAGGTCGGTAAAATGAGGACCCAGATTGTTGGGGTGGCAACGTGCTGACTCTGTAAACCGCTTAGAGAGGGCTGTAAAGCACTATAAAGCAGTATATAAGTCTAAGTGCTATTGCTGTACTGGCCGTGATGGTGCCGTGGTCAGAACGCCGCATTGCAGGAGTTGCCCACTGCCCGCTGCCAGGAGTTTGATCTTGAAAGAGCTCAAAGTTGACTCAGCCTTCCGTCCTTCCAAGGTCGGCAAAATGAGGAGCTGGATTATTGGGGGCAAGAGGCTGACTCTGTAAATCGCTTAGAGAGGGCTATAAAGTGCTGTAAAGCAGTATATAAGTCTTGTTGCTCTTCCTTCCTTCCTTCCTTCCTTCCTTCCTTCCTTCCTTCCTTCCTTCCTTTCTTCCTTCCTTCCTTCCTTCCTCCCTCCCTCCCTCCCTCCCCTTCATGGTACACAGTGGTTAGATTTCTGCATTGCAAGCTAACTCTACCAACTGCCAGTGGTTCAATTCTGACCGGCTCAAGTTGGACTCAGCCTTCCATCCTTCCCAGGTGGGTCAAATGAGGACCCTGATTGTTGGGGACAAGAGGCTGCCTCTGCAAACCGCTTAGAGACGGCGATAAAGTATTGAGAAGCGGTATCTAAGTCTAAGGGCTATTGCTACCCTCCTTTTTATCTCCTTAACCGAACTGCCTTGTTTTCTTCCTGCCCCTGTGCCGGATGGCCTCGTCTTTCTCCATCTTTATTTTATTTTTTTTTGCACGCTGAAGGAAAGATTTTTCCTTAATGCCCAGGACACGTTTTGCCCCTCCGGTTCCATTGGAATGCAAATCTTCCACCCGTGGTCAAGAAAGATTCAGCGGAATATTCATCACTACAATGGAAGCCTTCATGGGCCAAAGGCCGATATATATATTTTTTTCCTTTTCCTTTTTCCGTGTTTCGGTAGAACTGAGTAGAGGTCTCCCTCGACTTACAACTGTTCATTTAGTGACCGTTCCAAGTTACAACGGCCCTGAAGACAGTGGCTTGGGTCCTCCCACTTACCGGTCCTGGCAAGCATCCTCAAGGTCAAAAATTCAGGCGCTTGGCACCTGGCATGGATTTAACAAGGGTTGCAGCAATCCTGGGTTTATGTGACTGCCGTGTGTGAGCCAGCCGGCTTCCAACGAGCAAAGCCGGATTCGCTTAAAGATCCCTATGATTCATTGAACCACGGCAGTGATTCGCTTAACAATGGTGGATTCAATCCGTGGTTCCCCTTAACGATTTCTTCCTGACTTTTCCCTTCCTCCTTTCCGCTTCTCGCTCACTTACCCTGACCAATCGGGCTCTCTTGACCAGGTCATTGAGCTTCCTCAGGGCAGAATTCCGGGGCAGGTTCTGGATGTCCGTGAACAAGTCCTGCTCCTCCAGCTCAAAGAGCCGTCGGTTGTCAGAGATCATCAGGGGCTCCGACCAGAAGGACCCGATGTAGACACGCAGCACTTCGGGGGTGTTGAACACTTTGCCCAGCGACCACATCAGGGCGCCGTAGACCCGCATCAGCTGCTGTGTCTCCACCATGTCGGCCTTGTTCAGGACCACCCGGATCTTGTCCTCGTTGCCCTTGAGGGCCCGGATGGCCTCGGAGAACTCGTCCGAAATCTCCAGCTTGTGGGCGTCAAAGAGCAGGATGATGAGGTCCACACGCTCGGCAAACCACTGGAGCACGGCCGGGAAGTCGTAGCCTGTGGAGGAAAGAAGAGCCTTGCGGAATAAGAGGGTCGTTTCCTACACCCGTTCAAAGCACAAACTCGTTTTTTAATTCCCCCCACCCTTTTTTTTCCATCTCCCAAAGCCTCGTGCGCTCTATTGGAGAGGTCTGCCATCTTGGCCAACTTTGAGACTTGTGGACTTCAACTCCCAGAATTCCTCCCATGCCAGGTCCGTAAGACATAAAGTGGGCAGGAGTGGAGGCCTCTGCTGTAGAGCACTAGGCTTCAGAAGCAGTGGCGGTGTCAGGATTCTGGCAATCGCCCTAATTAAATCATGATTCTCGAGCCAAACTTCAAAAAACTTCCAGCGACAGACTGGCACAGCCCTAATATATGGAGTATGGAGTCAACTCTGGCCTACGTCATTTACAGTCCCCCGTGAGCCCGTTTTCCCCCTCCCCTCTGGGTGTGTCATAAGTCATGGGCTGGGTGTCATCAATCCCATTCTCCAATTAAATATATTTAATATATTAATATATTTAATATATTCACGGGGAAAAATACTATGGTAGTTTGGTTACAATCTTTTAAAGAGAAGAGTTGGAATGTACTGTCGCTTTCAAACTACTCTTCCAGATTTCCTCCCGCCCCCTTTTTTCTCATGGCAACTGTTAAAATAGGCAGAGGAATGTTTTATGAGTTGACAGGTGGGTTTCCAATAGTCCCACCACTGGTTTGCAGCAAATGTGAGTGCGTGCGCGCACAGCTTTGGGGCCTAGTAAGCCTTCCTGCATTTCCCTGGGAGCCAAAACGGGGCGCGTGGTCAGAAGATGAAAAAAAAAAGACGAATAAAAAATGAAAAACAAAAAGAGAGAAAAGGGCGCGCGGAGCCTTCTTGGAAGTGTGGAAAGGACCGTGGGGTAGATCGGAGATAGGGGATGTCAGATATACCAGAAGTCTCCAAACTTGGCAACTTTAAGGCTTGTGGGACTTCAACTCCCAGAATTCTCCAGGCAGCTTTCTGGGAGTTGAAGTCCACAGGTCTTCAAAGTGTCCAAGGTTGGAGACCCCTGATCTAAAAAGCTTGTTGATCTGGACCAGGGTATGGCCATCAGTGGGCTCTTTGACGCCCCCTGAGCTTGGTGGTTTTCTTGCAGATGTTTTATTACTCAACTGGGGCAACATCTTCAGTCTAGAAGGGAGAGAGGTTTGGGGAGGGGAGGAGGAGAAAGAGGAAGAGGAGGAGGAGGAGGAAGAGGAGGCCAATGAATTGCTGATGGTCTTCAAGCTAGCTGGAGAACTCTGGGAGTTGAAGGGCATGCTTCTTAAAGCAGGCTGGCTGGGGAATTCTAGTTGAAGCCCCGCCCCCCATCAAAGCAGCCTGGCTGGGGGATTCTGGGAGCTGAAGTCCACAAGTTTTAAAAGATGCTGGCTGGGGAATTCTGGGAATTGAAGTCCACAAGTCCTTTTTTTTTTCCCCCACGTTTTTTTTTTTATTTCAATATACTATGCTATCCTAAAATATATGATATATTGATGCCATGCTGTTCACGTGTTGTTGTGTAAGCGTAGATTGAAGTCCACAAGTCTTAAAGTTGCCAAGTTTGGGGACCCCTGTCGTATATCCTTCCCTCTCTGGGCTCCACACACACACACACACACACACACACACACACACACACACGCTTTGCACCACTCAGGTGAGCCTGAAGAGTTAACCAGCCGCGAGCAAAAGAGGAATCAAGACGTTAGCTCAACTTGATGGAGCCAACACGCCCGCCGTTCCTCGGCGTCTGTTTTAAAAAACCCAGAGCCCACTTTTGTTTAGACAGAGAAAAAGTGTGTTTGTGTGTGGGGGAAAGGAAACATCCAGCAAGACGGTGTTCTGGTACAGTTCCTTCCCCTCGCACCAACGTGGATACCCCCTTTCCTGTCCCATGAAGCAGATTTTCCATGGATGGGGCTGGGCTCCTTCCCTCCCTCCGTTGCTGGAGCCGAGCCACCAGCTTTGCCTGCCTCTTGGCAGCCGAAGTTCAGAGGGCCTGCAGCTTCACAGCACCAAAAAAGGAAGCCGGCTCCTTCCAGAGGAAAGTTTGAGCCAAGGGCCTCATTGTTCTGACCGATTAAAGAAAAACTCATAAAGATGGGAGATCTAAATAAGAGGCTGAGCGGGGTGGAAGGGGGGGTGGAAGGGGTTGGCCGGGCAGCAGCCTTATCTTGGTCCACCAAAAGGATTCTTGAACCTGGAAGGGAAGCGGAGGTCGAGAAAGGTCCCGTAAATCATTGGCATGTGTTTGGCTTCAGCTGGAAGAACCTGGAGAGATTGAGATCTCTGGAATCAAGCAGGAAACTTCCTAACGGCGGGGACGGGGACGCGGGGGACGGACAATCGATTGGTGGGACGGGTTGATTCCAGAAATGGTGGCTGCTCCAACACTGGAGGTTTTTAAGAAGAGCATGGCCAGTCTAGAGAAAAGAAGGATGAGGGGGTGATACGATAACAGTATTCTAGTGTTTGAGGGGGCTGCCACAAAGAAGTCAAATGATTCTCCAAAACACCAAAGAAAGCAGGACTAAAAAAAAAAACCACGGATGGAAACTGTTCTGTACGGACATTACCATTCTCGAAATCCGGCAGCCCGGATTGGTCAAAGCGCGCAGCCACCGGATTGGTCGAGCGCGCGGCACTGATTGGCCGTTCGGAATCGACCGCGATTGGCTGAGCCAATCGCGGGCGATTCGAACGGTTGTCATTGGCCGCAGCGCCCGGCACCAGATCCATTTAAGCCGCGGCTTTTCCCCACTGACCACACTTGTGTTTCCCACCAATAAATGAGCTGAACCCAGTCACTGGCCTCGCGTCTTTTGTCCGTATCGGCGATACGACAGAAACTAATCAAGGAGAGAAGCAACTTGGAATGAAGGAAGGAAAAAAAAAAGTGACTTTATACGTTTTGATAAAGTCTTTTTAAACTTTATACATCTTTCGTAAGGCCAGATTTAGAATATTTTGCAACCAGGTTTGGTCACCACGTTACAAAATAGATGTTGAGACTTTTGGGAAAAGTGCAGAGAAGAGCAAGTAGGATGATTAAAGGGTTGGAGACTGAAAGATATGAGGAACGGCGGCAGGATTTGGGTTTGGCTAGTCTGGAGAAAAGTAGGACTACAGGGGACATGATAATAGCATACTAGATAATAGGTAATTCCAGTGTTTGAGGGGCTGCCCCAAGGAAGAAGGAGTCAAGCTATTCTCCAAAGCACCTGAGGGCAGGACAAGAAGCAACGGATGGAAACGGATCAAGGAGAGAAGCAACCTGGAATTGAGGAGAAATTTCCTAACAGTGAGGACAATTAACCAGTGGAACTGCTTGCCACCAGAAATTGTGGGCGTTCCAATACTGGAGGTTTTTAAGAAGAGACTGGACAGCCACTTGTCTCCAATTGTATAAGGTCTCCTGCTTGAGCAGGGGGCTGGACTAGAAGACCTCCAAGGTCCCTTCCAGTTCTATTCTGATTGATTGATTGATTGAGAGGTTGGCACCTTTGGGTGTGTGTGTGTGTGTGTGTGTGTGCAGTGTGTTGTTGTTCTCTCCTCGCTACTCAAAAGATAAAATCCAAGCTGACTCATGCTGTTGGAACTCCGAGGAGAGGAAAGGGGAGCCTAAGGATGAAAACCAGAGTTTCCAAGAACGAAAGCCGGAGCTGCTCTTTTCACAAATGAACATTTCTGCATTCAGGAGCCTCCGCTGCAGGAAACGGAGAGCACAGCCACACAGGCTTTGCCGTCAGCCGTGGCGTTTCCTTTCGACTTTTAAAAAATGGCAGGATTTTTTTTTACGTAGGTAGGCAAGGACGCAAGGATATTGATTGTTTTAACATTCCTTGGACCCTGGCAAGGTTCCAAAGGAAACCTGGTTTGGCTGCAGTATTCGCATTGTGGCCAGGGCCCCCCAGGAGCTCACACTGCGGTGGGGGCGGTGGGGCCCTGACCTGCTCCCAATGCCAGTCCTCGGGGGGGGGGGGGGGGGGAAAGTTTTTGGGCCCCAGAAAGTTGGGGGCGGCGCGAGGCGGGAGGATTTGGGCGGGGGGGGGGGGGGAACTGAGGAAGGATAGCTGGAAAATAATTGTATGCTGGAAAATGTGGTGTTTCTTATTTTTTTTACTTTTTCTTCACTCGTATAATAGGAAGAGGAGGAGGGGCAAATACAGATAGTCCTTGACTTGTGACCACAAAGGAGCACAACATTCCTGAGTGAAACAGTCGTTAAGTGAGTTTTGCCCCACGTTACGACCTTCTTTGCCACCGTTGCTAAGTGAATCACTGCAGTTGTGGCTTTCCTGTAAAATTCCTTTGTCAGCAGGTCGCCAAAGGAGATCCCAGGACCCCTGCAGGACCCCTGCGACCACCGTAAATACAAGTCAGTTGCCAAACATTTGAATTTTGATCACGCGACGAGCTGCAATGTCATAAGCGTGAAAAAAGGGGGTCCTAATTCGCTTTTTTTCAGTGCTGTTGTAACTTTGGTCACTAAATGAACCCTTGTAAGTTGACAGCCCCCCCTTTAAGGCTTCTAAATGGATGGGACGGAAACTTGCCAAGGAAAAATATTTAGTCTTAAAGAAAAGAAAAAAAAAACCCGAAGGTTTGGACCCTTCCCACAAGATAAAAATATTGAGGGATGAAAAAAAGAAAACTAGGACACACAGTAATTGTACGTAACAGTATATAACTTTGTGCAAAAAATTTATCAACAGAGACTTGCCAAGCACATTAGGACTGACTGAAAACAGTTACAAAAGTTTATAATAGGACACAGCTGGTTTATAAAAGACAAGAGGTTAAATTAAAACAAAAAACGACAAAGCCAACTATTAAGAAATGGCTGAGCTCAGCCAGACAGATTTCTTTTGATTTCTGCAACGCTGACATTTGTGCTTCAATGTCTCCGCTGTTGAAATTTGTGCACAACGTCACTAGTGTGTGTAAGAATGACTGGGTCAAAGTCACCCAGCTGGCTTTCTTGCCTAAG